CATGGTGGTGAGGTTTGATTGGAAAAAAGATTCTGTGGAAAGGTGTCTTTTATACAAATAACGAGTTGTCATTAGGAGCACCTTCTTAACCACTTCCAGACCGGACACTTTTACCCCCTTCCTGACCAGGGCAATTTTCAGCTTTCAGCGCTATCACACTTTGAATGACAATTGCGCGGTCATGCAACACTGTACCCAAATTAAATTTTTAGCATTTTTTTGAGACAGATAAAGCTTTATTTTGGTGGTGGTATTTATTCACTGCTTGGATTTTTATTTTTTTTGCTTTGTAAATTAAAACTCCAAAAATTTTGAAAAAAGTGTTTTTTTTAATAAAATTTTACAAATAAATAATATTTCATCATAAATCTTGGCCAACATTTATTTCGTTTTATCTTTTTAGTAAAAATAAAAATCCAAATTAGTTTATAACCAAAAAATATAATTTTTAAACATTTTTTTTTACATTTTTATTTTATTTTTTTATATTATTTTTTTTTTTACATCCTGTTATCCTAGCAGTACAGTGTCACCATTTATAAACGGCCATCCGACCCTGCACTGCCACCATCCGGCCGTTTATATACAACGGCCAGTCGGGAAGTGGTTAAATTGACAGGACTAATCTGTGTACCACATGAGCACATAACCAGTCTGTGGAAGCCAGAATTATTGTTGGTTGGTAGGGGAAAAAATACTTATTTTACTCACTGAACAGCAACTCCAATTTATAACATTTGTATCGTGTTTTTTTTCTGGATTTTTGTTTGATATTCTGTCTGTCATTTAAAATACATCCATATTAAAAATTATAGACCCTTATTTTTTTTCTAAGTGGACAAACTTACAAAACCTGCATGGGATCAAATAATTATTTTTGCCACTGTAATCCCAGAGAGGCTCCATAATGTTGAGATTCAGGACTCTGTGGGGTCCAAACCATTACTTCCAGGACTCCATGTCATGAACAAATCTCCAACTCCATTTGCAGAAATGCAGCCCCAGATTTGCACGGAAGCTCCACTATGCTTCACTGTTGCCTGCAGACACTCATTATTGTACCGCTCTCCAGCCCTTCGGTGAACAAACTGACTCTTTCTACAGCCAAATGTTTCACAGTTTGACTTATCAGTCCAGAGCCCCTGCTGACATTTTTCAATACCCCTGTACCTATGTATTCGTTCATAGCTGAGTAGATTATTCTTGTCTCTATGTCAGAGGCATGGCTTTTTGGTCGCAATTCTTTGAGGCAGGCTACATCCCCAGATGTTTGGAATAACCTACCTGCCAAGCAGGCACGTGCAGAATGAAAAAATGTGATTTGTTTCAGTTTGTTATTTAAATAATTTTGTTTAGTTAGGTTGGTTAATTGTTTTTGAAATTCATTTAGTTTTGTTTATTCATTCTCTAACTCAATTTCACATTTCCAAATTCAATTCTACCGAATTTGGAAACTTCGATTGGGCATTCAAATGTATTCTATTCAAAATTAAAATTTTGGAAGATGGTTATATTCTATTTTATTCTATTCTTTTTTTCTATTCTTTTTTTTCTATTTTGTTATTTTTCTGTTGTATTCAAATTTATTCTCTCCATATTTCGAAAGATGGTTATATTTTTTCTATTTCCTGTCTATTGGTTTTGCTATTTTATTTTTTTCTACTGTGGTCTTTCATTTTCTATTCTATTCTTCTCTATTCTAATTTTTTCTATTCGAATTTCAAAAGATAGTTATTTTTTTTCTATTTTATTCTATTCTTTTATATTCTATTCTAATCTTTTCTATTCTATTACTACTCTATTATATTTTATTCCATTCTTTTATTTTCTATTCTGTTCTGCTTTACTTTATTCTGTTCCTTTAGTTTCTACTGTATTTTATTCTATTTTTGTTTTTGATTAGAATGTCGGATCAAATTTTGTTTCGGTATTTCAGATTTGTTTAAATTTGTTACTATTCCTTACTGTCCATATCTCCATATAATGAAAAATCCATCCGAATTTTGATTCGGACAGCTAACCACACATGTCTACTGCCAAGTTCCTTCAAAAACTGTGTGCAAGTGCAACTAGAAGAGTTGATGCTGTTTTGAAGACAAAGGGTGGTCACACCAAATATTGATTTGTATTGGATTTCTCTTCTGTTCATTTCCATTTTTTTTTTACTCATTTTGTTAATTGAGAACAAACTATTAACTTTTATTTCTGAAAGCATTCTTAATTTACAGTTTTACATCTCCCGAAAACTTTTGCACAGTACTGTATGTTTTACTGTTTTAATTTGGGGAAAAAAAAGGAAAAGTAGGGTAAAAATACGTTTTCTAATTATATGTTAGAACAACAAATTCAACAGTACATGGGTTCAAGTGGTAACATTATGACTCTTGGTTCACATTTGCCAGTCAGTGGTTTTTCCACAGTTCCGGTCTCTTGGCTGCAGTTTTAGGCTGGAAGTAGTAGGGAATCAGTGCAACATACCTGGAGGGGTCACAGATAAGTATCTGGTCATGATTTTAGGCATTTGTCACAAAACCTTTGGGAAGGGGGGAGTATGGGCATGTGGACTTAGATACACTAAAGTGTATCTAAAGGCAAAATATTTTTCTTTGACAGATCTAGGATAAGTTAGATTGGTTTTACTGCTGCTTGTGTCCCCACTGGATAGATTCACCCTTTTTATTTGTTCTGGTAACTATTGCCAAAACTGAAGGAAAGTGCAACAATTTAACAGCTGTTAAAGAGAAGAACTTTTTTTTTCTATGGGGGCCCCCCCACCCAGTAGTACTTCTTTTCCGCCACTAGATGTCCTTCCTTTTCCAAGTTAACCCCTTCATGCCTAAGGGTAAAAGAAATCTAAATGCCTAAGCACAAATTTGCAACGTTGACATGTGTTAGTAAAACCGTACATATCACAACTACTTTGTATATCCAGGTGAATTATACCTTGTCTTTTTCAGGACAAATTGGGCATTCATTTGGTGGTAAATGGTAATGGATATCTCCTGATTTTTTTTTTTTTTATTATTATTAAAGGAAAACTAAGCGAAAATAATAAAAAAAAACTTTTTATTTAATTTCTGTGTTTCTTGTTACTACCATAACCTACCATCAAAGAACAACCCAAAATAAATTTTCCAGCTCTTGACGATCGCAGCGATACCATATATGTGTATGTCATTTGTTGTTTGTACCCATAGTACAGCCCAGAGACAATAGTGCACATTTAGTGTTTTTTTTTATTTTATTTTGCCTAAAACACACTGACACTAACTGACACTGATACCACATTTTTTTTTAACCCTGACCTTGACCCAAACACTTACCCTGGCACTGACCTAGATCAAACCTTGTTCTAGGTATTTTTCTTTATTTTTTTCTTTTATTTTTTTAATATTTATTTATCTTTATTTTTTGTTTTACAAACTTTTTTTTTCCCTCTATGCCAGGAGTTAGAGAGATACAATGTATCTCTCTCCTCCATTCATAGAGAGAGAACAAAACACAAGGGGCCAGGCTGTACAGTGATTGATCACAGTGATAGCCAATCAGAGGCTATCACAGTGATCATGTGACCTGGAATCGGGAGTCCCGGGTCCCAGCAGAAAGACAGGAATGCAAATATGTGGCCCCACGGAAAAAAAGCCCAGTTCTGTGAGGCCGCATATTTGTGTTACGTTGGCATCAAAGAGTTAAGTAACTGCCAGCACCATTCTAGCCACTTCCTCTGAGCTCAGGCTGTTATGAATGTGCCCAGAACCTGTGACTAAACAGTAAAGAAGAAGCAACACAGTGATGAACTCATCTCTTTTCATGCTGTTTTGTCCTTCTATCAGCATGGTCCTTGTCACCACATGAACTGATTGGCTTCTTGTGCTGCTTCTCCTTCCCATTCTCTGAGTTATTATTATACAGGTTTTATATAGCAAAAAGAATTTGTGCAGCGCTTTACAACATAAGAGTAGACAGTACACTTACAATACAGTTCGATCCAGGAGGAATTGGAGGGTCCCATGCGTTAGAGCTTACAAACTAAAAGGGAGTGTCAAGCATTACAAAATGTAACAGGATAGGCTCCTCCAAAGAGAAGGAATTTATTTCAGTGATCACCTAAAAGTGGATAGAGTAGTAGACAGTTGGACTGATTGGGGTAGGGAGTTAAAGAGAAGGAGAAAGGCTCAGGAGATGTCCAGGAGACAAGCATGGGAGGTGGAGCAGGAGTTCTTGGGATGAATGAAGTGAACGATTTGGTTGGTATTTTGAGACTAGGTTGTAGCTGTACAGAGACTGTAAGAGGCCAATACCAGATCAAATTCTTGTACATACACTACTGCACTTTAAGAAATATGGCCAAACTTCTCTTGTGGGTCACAGGAGTGCATTCACTTTTGTTCTCTTGTGACCAAGAGCCAGCTGAGAATGGGAAGATCCACTCAAGGGTCTGGAAGGATCCAAACAACATTGTCAGGATCCACCCAGATGGGTGATTGACAGCTGGCCCAGATCTCAGCTTGTGGCTGTGAGCTGCAGCCAGCTACATCCACCCCCTTTCCTGTCCAGCACTTCAGTGAGTGTTTGAGGAAAAGAGCGGAGAGCAGTGACTGATAGTCACTGCTCTCTGCTCTGAGCAGATGAAGAATTGAGAAGCAGTCGTGTGATCACTGAATTCTAAGTCTTAGAGTCCTTTGAGGGCAGCTGCAGCTTCTCACAGATGCTTCATCATAGAGGGGAGTATGTAGTTTTTTTTTTTTTTAAAAACCCCAAACTTGTCCTTTTTTAACAAAATATATTTAAGGAGCCATTAATACTGTATATACAGAATGCTCTGTAAATCCTGCCTCAGGGGTATACTGTATTGAATGTTTATTTGTAAAATAAAGATTTTGTACCAAAAAAAGATATAAAAGATGAGTTTTAAAAACACATCAATTTGAAGATAAATAAAATTGACCTAAAGGCATAATAGTTTTCCTTTAATAATTTCCATCACCTTTCTCATTTAGGTAGAAGGTGCTGCCTACCTGGGATCTTTTGTCTATAAGACACAGAATACGGGTATATGGAGTCAGCCAAGAGGCGAGAACTTACTAGATGGTGGAGCTCCATTCTACAGCACCTATACGACCTCTGAGGGGAAATACATGGCCGTAGGTGCAATTGAACCACAGTTTTATAAAGAACTTCTTAAAGGTACATGTTTTTTTTTTTTTTTGCAAGACACAAATGTAACTCAGGTCAGCAACCAGTTAAAGTGTATCCATAAATTCAATTTAGTATTTTTATTGCTGTTTTGCTGTTGGTGTCCCAATGAGGAGATTTCCCTTCACTTCCTGCCCCATAAACACAATGGAAAGTAAATGGCTATCTCTCCAAAGTGGGAAAATCCTCTCTTAAACTGGCCAAACACTAGTGGAATTTCTTAGGAACATTCATATGAAAATTCTTAAAATGTTCTTTGTTGCCATCATAGATTCAACTAATTTAGTTCAAAAGCCCTTAAAATTTGGTCAAGATCTGCTATTTGAATGGAATCCCAGATGTGTTAAAGTGGGAGTAAACTCCCTTTGTAATTTTATATCTACAGGTAAGCCTATATTAACCCCCCTGGCGGTGTTCCCGAGTGTAGCTCGGGGTTAACTTTCAGTTCCAGAAGCAGTAACCTCGAGCTACACTCGGGATTACACTGCAGCATTGCTCAGGGATTCCCTCCAGCACTTGCCTTGTTCTGCTCCCGCTATGTCCCCCCTGCAGCGTCCCCGGCCATCTCCTCCAGCGGATGCCGGCACCCGTCTTCCGGGTTCCAGTCCCTGCAAGCGCCGGGACGTACGGGGGACGGAAACCGGCAGGAAATTCAAAAATTTAAATGTGACATTCACTCAATACACTGAAATCTGATAGTATTACATTACTATATTAAACCATTTCACATACATTTTGTCCTGACTGCTTTGTCCTGTGCCTTGCCTGCATTTTTATTGTTCTTTTGTTTGGAAACTGAAAAAAGTCCATGGCGTCCAAAAAGCGTCCTTTAAGGTCAAAAGTGGTTTTAGACCGGCTAGAGAACAGCGATAGTAAATCGGAACCACTTGCAGAATTGAGTGATAATGATTCGTGGGGAAATTCGTCATCAGACACTGAAAACGATTTTGCGACTTTGCTCAGTGATGTGTGAACTTGGCGCTCTATTTCAAATTTCAATGTTTTTGGTTTGATTATTTTATTGAATTAAATTTAATATTATTATATTATTATTTTTTTATGATTATTTAATATATTATAATTTATGATTTCGTGTTTCAAATATTATACCCGGCATGTTTACTAGACTCTTGTTCAGACAGATTTCAGTGAGTTATTCCTAAGAATTACAGGCCTACAATAAAAAAACAACATATTTCCATGCAAAAAAATGTACCGCTTTGAGCACAGAAATACTGACATAATCAGACCACTAGGGAGGTTATTGCTTACTTGAAGATTCAGTAAATATCTCCATTTAGGAGACATTTACATTTGAATCAGCGGGTGACGTTACCAGCGCCTGGGCACTGTGCTCTCAATGGACGGCATACCATCTCTTGAGAGAGCTGTGTTGCGGCCGTGAATCCCTTGCACATTTGCAGGAGTGACGTCATCACGGCTCAGCCATTCAAACAGCCAGAGTGTGTGTACAGAAAGAAGACTGGGTGAAGATGGATTCCCTGTCAGCAGTGACAGCGTGCCACAGAAGGGATCCGATTCACAGGTAAGTCTGTTATAATGTGCTAGTATGCAGTACATACTAGCACATTATGACATTGGCCTGCAGGGGGGGCAGTTTTCTTCCTTTTTTAAAAATTTTTTTTATCTGCTGTTTTAACCATTTGCCACCCGGCCAATAGCCGTTTGGCGACCGCAAAAATGCATTACCTTTCCGGGGTGTACGCCATTGGCGTCCTCCCGCACATGCGCAGTTCGCGCGGTTGCAGAGCGGCGCAGCGGCGCGATCTGTCACCGGCCGTATACCTCAGACACGGCCGATGACAGATCTGAGTACCGGCCCCTGTTGCTGGTACCATGTGACCTGCTGTGACCAATCACAGCAGGTCACATGACAGTTGTATACAATGGATGGCTTAATTCATGCTATCCATTGTATACTAGTGTCTAGCTGTGAATGGTCACAGCAGGTCACATGCACATGTCATGTGATTAGCTGTGGCCAAATCACAGCTAAGCACAAAAAGAAAAAAAAAAAAAAAAAACCCTGAATGAATCGATGTCATTCAGGTAAATGCTTGCTTATAGCAAAGTAATTCTTTGCTATAAGCAAATTGTGTAAAAAAAAAAAAAAAAAAAAAAAAAAAACTGATCACTTCCCCAAAGTAGTACAATGTTACTATGGTAACATTGTACTACTTTAGTCATAGTAAAATATGAAAAAAAAAATCTTAAAAAAAGTAATAAAAAAAAATATATATATATATTTTTTTTTCATACTGTCACCAGTCAGTGTCCCTGTTCACCGCCATGCCAGTTATATGATGACGCTGTACTGCACTGGTGACAGTATGTAAACAAAAAAATAGTGAAAATAATGTTTTTAATTTTTTCATTTTCCGAAAAATTATGACAAAAAAATTCCTCTTATGAAGTACGTCGGACTGTCTACTTTAAAAAAAGGGGTCATTTGGGGGATATCTGTACTATTCTGACATTCTTGGACCTCAAGAAATTAGATTGGCCATCATACTTCAGGATTGATCAATTTTCAGATCTATACCATAGTTTGTGCAACTCTATAACTTTCCTACAAACTAAATAATACATCCTAATTTGGGTTATTTGCACCAAAGACATGTAGCAGAATACATCTCGGCCTAAATTTATGAAGAACAATTATTTATTTGTAAACTTTTATACCAGAAACAAAGAAAAATGTGTTTTTTTTTTTTTCAAAATTTTTGGTCTTTTTTTGTTAATTTAGCAAAAAATAAAAACCCCGGTGGTGATTAAATACCACCAAAAGAAAGCTCTAGTTGTGTGAAGAAAATGATAAAATTTTATTTTGGGTACAATGTTGTATGACCGCGCAATTGTCATTCAAAGTGTGAGAGCGCTGAAACGTGAAAAATGGCCTGGGCAGGAAGGTGTAAAATTGCCCGGTATTTAATTGGTTAAACAGGCTTCATTACAATATGTACCATCTTTCCAAAAACCACTTTCACAGTCAGTCTTGCTTGAGTAAAATTATCCATCCTGCTTCTCCAGGAGTTTTTGCAACTATTGTTGAAAATGAACGTCTGCTGGACCCCACTAATCATTAGAAAATTGATCTATACATTGAACGTTACGAAAAACAAAAATTTTCATTTGAAAGTCTACCAGTGTATGGCCAGTTTTTGATTGTGGTCACTGGAGCAATGGTCATCAGAGTGGGAAGATTTTCAATTAACCATCTGCACACTGCTGTTCATCCATATTCATTTCTAGCAGACATTTGCTTAAAAACAGAACATTCTTGATTTGCATAGTTAGCAATACATTTCCAAGCTGGCTATAGCCATCAAAGTGATTTCTCATGTCTCAAAATTTGAAATATCTACTCACATGAAAATTACTTTAGTGGACATATAGTGTCAATTTGGGGTAAATTGACAGATGAGAGCTGCAGAACCATATTTGGTCACTGATCCAAACTATACAGTGGAACCCGAAATCATGTTTCTGCTCAGATCTAAATAGCTCTTATACACTATATGGTCAATGGTTTGTGAACACCTGGCCATCACACCTATATGGGCCTGTTTGACATCCCATTTCAAAACTATGGGCAGTAATATAAAGTTGACCATAGTTTGTGGCTAGAACAGCCTCAACTCTTCTATGAAGGCTTTCGAAAAGATTTTGAAGTTTGTCAGTTGGAGTGCCCATTTAACCAAAAGAGCATTTGTAAGGTTGGGTACTAATGTTGGATGAGAAGATCTGACTCATTTCAGTTCATCCCAAAGGTGTTCAGTAGGGCTGAGGTAAGAACTCTGTGCAAACAACTTGATGTTCTCCACAATATACCCCTCAAGCCATGGGGTTGATTTACTAAAACTAGAGAGTGCAAAATCTGGTGCAGCTCTGCATAGAAACTAATTGGCTTCCAGGTTTTTTTTTTTGCCAAAGCTTAATTGAACAAGCTGAAGTTAGAAGCGCATTGGCTACTATGCACAGCTGCACCAGATTTTGCACTCTCCAGTTTTAGTAAATCAACCTTCATATCTTTATAGAGTTGACTTTGTGCAGAGGGGCACAGTCATACTGGAGCAGAAAAGGGCTTTTTCTCAACTGTTCTTACAAGTTTGGAAACCCACGATTTTCGAAAATGTGTTTGTACCCTTCACTGGAAGCACCTGAACTCAATAAATTGGTGGGGTATATAAATACTATTGGTCATATTGCGTGTTTCTGTAAAATATAATCTAAAAATACATCTCAATCAAATGAGGTACTTGAGGGATGTGTCCACGCCTCAATCTTTAAAGTGGTTGTAAACATCAGGCTTGAAATTTTAACAAAACAAATCCCTCTATAGTGTGGACTTGTCGGAATCCAGTGCACTAAGTGTCATCTCTGTTTGCAGCCTCCTTCGTTTTCTGTCAGCATGAGTCACTTCTGACACGTTTTCTTGACACCAAGAGAAAAATGGTGACACAGGAGGGACCTCCAGCAGATTGACAGCCTCAGTTCTGTTCCTGTGTGAAGGGGGGGGGGGGTGTCTTTCCCTCCAATCAGGGCTCAGAGCTCCCTTCACTGAGCTCTGCAGAGTGTAACTTCAATTCCCCACCCCCAGTTTTTCAGAGCTAAAAGATGCTGTGTAAGTTATGTACTTTGAATGGATGTAGAGAAGAGAGGGCTGCAGAAAAAACAGGCACAACTTATGTAGGAAAATGTGTTTAATCTCTGTGTACAAACCCAGGCCAGTCACTTCACTGGGAGTATATAAGGGTTTACAACCAGTTTAAGATTCCCAATAAACCCTCTCCACAGATCCATTGACTCTTAGGCTAAGTTCACATTCTGATTGTATAGTAGGCTTTAGATGGATGGTCAGGGAGCAGTAAAATCGTGGCTCAACCTTCATTTTTTTGCTGCTCTCACTATACTCCTAGCCACCAATGTGAAAGATGCCTTGCAAGCAGGGATTTTCTTCAGCTGGAATG